GATGCTCTTTCAAGCTAGATCAAAATTTAGTCTATAATGCAAATGGTCCATTACAGGGGAATTAATATTAGGATGTTGGGGTTTGCAATCCAAGTGAGTATATATATACATTTTAAGACCTAACCAGGAACGACTGCGAAAAATGCAGCACAAGGTCCTCTGGTACGGAATCTCAGGGCCGTAGGTTCAATTCCTACCAGAGGACCTTGTGCTGCATTTTTCGCAGTCGTTCCTGGTTAGGTCTTAAAATGTATATATTCTCACTTGGATTACAAACCCTAACATCCTAATATTAATTCCACCAAGTGAAGTGCAAGAATCTAAGTTATTCAATTACAGGGGCACTGTCCACTAGCGGCGACACAATCTGCTGAAGGAAGTTGGAACACTATCCTTTGTGACACCGGCGTAGAATTAGTTGGAAACTCATTAAAATAACAATAAAACTCATCAATGTTAGTCAACGTTTATACAAAAATATGTATGGTGCTTCATCGTCACGTGCTGATTGTATTTTTGCCAAATCCACCAATAGCAATTTTGAAGTTACCCAACTGCAAGTCACGATTAGTAACTTTCCTGAAACATTGCTATTGGTTAGTTGGGCAAAAATACAATACGTACGTGAAGGACCATATATTTCTGAATAAACCCAAGCAAAAACATAGACGATAAGTTATATAATTTGTAATTCTAATTAGTTTCCAAACCCTGTATTAACAATGTCTCCACCGTTTGAAATTTTAATTGGCATAATTAATGGTCATAAACCTAAATAATTATACTATAATTATTATCATAACCCCGCCTATTTTACAAAAAGATGTAACCATCGATAAGGGTATCACAATCAGAAAACGTGCATCCGCTATTCATTAGTGTTGTGGGAAGCTATATCTTTCAAGTTACATACTGGTAGGAAAATTCATTTGCTTGATAATGCAGCAGATATAATGTAGCTAATTTAAACACGTGATTCGATGTCCTGAGATTTTGACAGACTTTAAAATCTCATCCAATTGTAAATATTGGCTGATTCACCTGTAACCGTTCCTGATTGAATACGAAAGGATGTGGACGGTAGGAGTGTGTTCCAAGTATAGAGATATATCCCCGACTGTCGCACACCCTTTACCCGTATAACCGAGCTACCTGACACCACCTAGCAACCACACAAATAGAGCAAGCCGGGGGATATGACGTCACAATAGATTATGAACCATATAAAGCAAATATACGCGGTCAATAAATCATGTGCTCTTCAAACAATGTTGTCATTCCCAAGCCGAACGCGTTTACGGCTTGTTTCACTTTTACAAACTTACACAAAACTGCATTAACTGAGGATAATTCTCCTTTAATACTGCAGTTTTATACGCAAGGCATAAAAACCAAACTTTAAAATCGTCCGGGGCTACAAATCGTCAAGATGATTCGACGAAGATGTTCCGATTTGTTCCAATTTATAAAACAACATTTGATTCTATTCTTGATTCTCGTCGGCGTTCTTTGCGGATTTTTGCTCGGCGCTTTGCTGCACAGTACAGTACAGTCGTCCACGGATCCACCACCTAAGGAATTTGCTATGTTGCTGTCTTTTCCAGGCGAAATTTTGATACGAATTTTGAAGTTACTCGTGTTGCCTTTGATCATTTCGAGTGTTCTTTTGGCCGTGGCTGAACTAGACGCAAAACAGAGCGGGAAGCTTGGCAAACGGACACTATTGTACTATTTAACAACCACAATTTTAGCCGCTATCTTGGGAATTGTCCTTGTTGTCAGTATTAAACCGGGCGAAGCGAATGTGAAACATACAAAGCCTGATGAAGGCAATATTGAACCGCTCGATTCCATTCTGGATTTAATCAGGTGAGGTTTTTGAAGCCTTAACTGTCATGTCAGGAATGCAGACAAAAAGATTATAGAAAACACGTCCACTTCTGATCGTTTCAGCACACAAACACACGTTTGGAAATATTTCAAATTTATTAAAGCTATTACCATTTCCGTTTTACAACCAATTTAATTTAAGCTTGACAATTTTACTAATGAAAGATGGTTTAATATTTATAGCCACTGGTATTACAGTTTTATATTAAATAGCCAACTGGCTTGACTCCCTTATAAATATTTTCGATACATTTGACACCTCGATATTTTGAGGAAATTAATTGTTCATTTTTTACTGCCTACGCCACGTTTACATAGGATTAAATTAATCATATGTCCACTGTATTGGTGATGTTTTCACGGATATAAATCCTCGTTGCTTAAGCTTTCGGTTATATAACCCTTGCCACTCGCACAACATTCAACAACATATTTATGTGCAATTAATGGGGTGATCTATTATTCTCGATTTTCAATCACTTTTCAAAGCGCGATTCCCAAGTTTGTTCGTGAATATATTCCCAATTACGTTTCTAAATTTACAATATTGGTCTTGGCAAGTTGTTTACTGAAATACCAAAGTATTCAAACAACATAAACTCGTCATTTTCAGTGTTTTACTAATATAGCTAGCATATTTGACAAATTATTTTTAAGCAGTATAGTAGTCCCTATTCCGGTGCAAAAGCGAAGTTATTTTTCTTCACAGCATGCAATTTCTGGGTTGTGTGGAATTTTGTTTACCCAACCTTGAATAACACTATTAAATTTGTGGAAACACTCATATCCATTTCTAGCATATGGTTGATTGCGCTGTTCTTGCGGTGTTGGGTTTCCAGGAAAACAGCTAATCAGCTTGGGTGTCAAAGCTTCTAGCATTTTCAACAAAATTGTCTAAATTTCTGACAATTAAGGGTCACGTCCATATTCATGTTGCCATGCATAACGTCGAATCGACGTTAACACTCAAAACCCACCCACCCACCCTAAATAACGTCGAACGTGGCAGTCACATTCTTCAAAACTTTCACAAAATTTTCATTTTGCCACGAGATTATCGATATAAGTCGAGAGAATTAAGATAAACCCACCCACCCACTCATAACGTTGATTCGACGTTATGCGTGGCAATATGAATATGGACGTGACCCCTAAATACTATAAAATAAAATCTCTTTAATGCTCAGTAGCATCTCTTTAATGTGATTTACACTGTGCAACTTTTGCCTAAAACTGTTGCATGCAACCTGCTTATACTGTCACATGTAAGTTGTACTGTGTAAATCAAGCAGTCACAACTCACCTACAACAGGGTAGGCAAGTTGTGTGCTTGATTTACACAGCACAACATAAATTGTACTGTGTGTGAATCGAATACATGACTCACCTACGTTGTTGTAGGTGAGTTGTTTGTTTGATTTACACAGTGCAACTCAAGTTGCAAGCCAGTCTTAGGCAAAAGCTGCGTAGTGTAAGTCTGCCTTTATGACCAAATTTATCCCTTCAATGTAATTTTAATCCCAGTCGCAAAACCCAAATCTTAAAATGTGAATATTATTCATTGGGTATTAAAAGCTTCAGTCTATTGCTTAGCACACTAATATTTACAGGAAGTCCTGAGCTAACAGATTCAAACCTTTGCCAAATAGATTAGACCAGAAAAAATACCTCTAAGCAAACTTTCAAACAGTTTATTTACAGTGAAAATATGGAGCAATAGAATGTCTTGAAATCAACAGGTGTGCAGAAATATGGAAACTGAAGCAGTGCATGGGTTAGGGCAAAGAAAACTGTTGGTTTCAGATTTTTGACCAACCTGTTAAATTAATAACAAACATTTTATAGACATAATTGGAAAAATCTCCCTCTCACAGAAATATACAAAAATATGCAGGGTTTTTTGTTAAACACAAAAAACCCTGCATATTTTTGTATATTTCTGTGAGAGGGAAATTTTTACATTTTGTTCATTTTAACTAATCATGTCTGGTTGTTTTCAACTGCATGGAATCTTTGTGTTTGAGTGCCAGCATTCTCCCCTTGATGAGTAAAATTGTCTGGTGTTAGACAGAGTAAAATAATGAAATAGGGTGCAATGTGCAGCTTAATTTAATTGGGCACATTTTCAAATTGTGTGGTCAACACATTGAATGGACTGTGCTGACAACCCTTGACAAGTAAAATGGTTTGGCATTAGGCAGAGTAAAATGTAGGACACAGCATGGTCAAATGGTCAATTTTTAACTGTGCCTTTGGGCTACCTGTAGTACTAATTGGTGCCCAAATGAAAAAAACACGGTTTAATTCCATGAATGATTAGTTTTCAACATGGTTTCAAAATACTGTAGCCAGGACTTTTCTTCATTTTCTAGAATTTACAATATGTATCATCGGAATAATTCATCATCTGGGGCAATTAAAGCAGCATATTTTCAGAAATACAATCTTGATCCCAACTTGAGCTCTTAATCCCCATGAGGCTATTAATTAATCACTCTATGGAAATTCATTGTCATCTGTCAACATGTCGCTTGATAATGTTAACATATATTGAAGGTCAAGGGCTCATTATTTTGAATCATTAAAGTCCATTAAAATGCATATATCTAGTACCTTTATATAAAGAACATTGTAAATGGTGCTGGATCCCTAATTTAGGGGCCCATAATTTTGAATTCATTAATACAAAAACTATCAAAACATGCATATATCTAGTTCCTTAGTAACTGTGACTGTCTTGTATGTATGCATTATATAAAGAACATTGTAAATGGTGATTGAACCCCTAATTTAGCGGCCCATAATTTTGAATTCATTAATACAAAAACTGTCAAAATATGCATATATCTAGTTCCTTAGTAACTGTGACTGTCTTGTATGTATGCATGATAAGAACATTGTCATTGTGAATGATGCTGAACCCCTAAAGGCTATAAAATTCAATTATTTTTATCAAAACACCAATTATATCACAAGTTTTATTCATCATGATTTTAATGAGCAATCAATTCTGTTATAAATATCACATGATTTTATAGTTAAGAGAGGCTCACTCGTTTTGAATACAGGTAGTGGTAACAAAAAATTCAGGTAGATATGAAACAGCATTGAAGATTTTATTATCTCTGCATGCATGATCACCTTGCCATTCGTGTGCTGCTGGTAAAGTTTTTAATTTGACCATTTTATATGGGAGTTTTAGTTGTAACTATCAAATTAATGTTTTTTTTTAATCTTGATTTTAAATAGGAATTTGTTCCCTGACAATTTGGTGGATGCAGCTTTTACTTCAGTAAGAAATAAACTATTGTTTACTTTCTCGTGTGTATGGTCAACAAGTTTTCCTGGACAAATTTTGTTGCTTTTTTTCTCACGTCTGAGACCACCTTCTGTTTCCCAAAACCATAGAAATATTTCTTGTACATTTGTAAAGTTTTCCTTGGCCGCCGTATACACGAACAAATTTTCTTTGTCAATTTTTTGCTGTTGTTAAAAGAACTTGGTAAAATATAAAACCGCATTTATTTTCTATAGGTGAAAACCAAATACAAAGAAATCCCCACGAACTACAGTTTTGAAGAAACGAAAATTGGATCGAACTCATCAGCGGAGGACATGTATAAAATTGTGGGTTCTAAGAAATTGAATCCATGGATGTTCTTCAAGGGTAGAAATGCGACGGAAATTCTAATGAAAGTAAAATACGAGTACGATGGCATTGCGAAGGTCCCGGGCACGAATATGCTGGGTTTGATCATGTTTTCTGTGGTGTTTGGGTACATTTTGGGAAGAATGGGAGAAGTGGGACAACCTATGGTTGTGTTTTTTAGAATTTTATTAGACGTCACTATGAATATGGTTACGTTGGCTATTTGGTAAGATATTCAGCTCAACAACTAATGCGTATTTTCAGCGTGCGATAAATTGCGTACTTGCGTACCAGAGCCAATATTACGGTGTGGTACTAGTTCTTTGTTTCTTACTTTTTGCTGGTACCATAGGACCTTACCAAGCCCAAGATATTCAATACCGTATATAGGTGCGTCTGACATGTCTTGACATGAGACACTGATAGGAATGTTGGAACCAATTCTAGTATTGGTGTATACAATTGTCGTCTTTCTCACAAGGCCATAAACTAGACGCAACACTTGGGGGGGGGGGGGGGGGGGAATTTGGTTCTGCCCTACTGATTTCTTTTGAAAGCGATTGTTTTTACGGTATGTAAACAACATGAATATATGAATATGCCCCCCCCCCCCCCAATTATCGCGTCTAGTTACGACCCTGCCTTCTCGTTCTAAGTTGTAGTTTCAGGTTGCCGAATGAATACCTTTCAGAAACCTGGGGCGGGTTGTATAAAAAAGTGATTAAAGTTAACTATAGTTAGTGGAAACGTCATCCAATAAGAAGCGCGTATTTGAGAGTTAAGCCCGTTCTCCACTAGGCGAATTTATTCGCGCGAACAGATAAAAAGTAGGAAGCGATCCTACTTTTTCGCCGCGAATTTTTTCGCCGACCAATCACGTGGCCGGATTTCGGTTTTCGCTTCGCGTCGCGCGAACAAATTCGCGTAGTGGAGAACGGGCTTAAATCACTATTTAACTACAAAATAGTGATTAAAAAAGTGATTAAGAGTTTTATACAACCGGCCCTTGTACTTTATGTACATCATTTTGAAGACTAAGTACACCTTGAGTCTTAAGTTTGTACCAGTTCAAGTACACGGCAATAATCATTACAGTACCCATCAGGTACGACTAAAAATCTCGAATTATCGCACCTGGTATTTTTACCTACTGGTCATATTGCTACCTTAATATTCACTGGCATATAATTTCAATGCATTGTTAGTTCTAGTTTAAGAATAAAAATTTTAACTGGAGTGTGTAAAGGCACTGTAAACCATAATGATTTCAAATGTCCTTTATTTCTAGGATTTCTCCTATAGGTATTTGCTTCTTAGTAGCTGGGGCAATTGTGAACGCCAAAGATATTGGCGACGTCTTCGAATCGTTGGCACTCTACATTGTAACATGTATTACCGGTCTAATCATTCATTCTTTCGTTGTCTATCCCTCGTTGTATTTCATATTTACGAGAAAAAGTCCGTTCAAGTTTTTTTCTGGAATGATCGAACCTGCTGTTACTGCATTTGGCACTTCGTCAAGGTACGTCATTTGTACCCAGGAAAATTCCGCTGTTGAGCGCGGCCGGAAAATCCTCCATCTTAGAAGGGGAACTGGGCAGAATTGTAGTATAGTAATACTAATAGCTTTTTATTTGAGCAAATCGTAGTCTAAGACTAAATTAAATTTACCCATTACAATGTTACTTTAGAAAGGTAAAAAGGGAAACAACTACAAGCATTAAAACTAAGAATATATACTGAATTATGATTTGTGTGTGTGTGTTTTGATGTTATGTACTCAGGTGAATCTCTCAGTTGGTTAAAGCCATAGATATCTTCACTCACTAGATAGTGCATCTAATTATTCTGCAATTCAAAAATTGAAGCCGTGATTGCCGACTCAGGATATTCCCATGAAATAAGAAGATTGGTATGTTTTCTATTTCTTAAGCAGGGAACTTAAACATTAAGTTAAACCTATTCCAAATACATTTTTAAACTATTCAAATGATGAAAGTTATTGTTGTTTTTTAAGCGTTTATTAGCGAGTGGGAACTACCAACATGGCCGCCATCTATTCAAATGGGGGTAACCGCTGGAATATTCTTGGCTTCAATTTTACTAAAAGAGATGCGCTATCTAGTGTATATAAGATATCTATGATCAGAGTGCTGCACCGGAATCGCTGGTTCAATTCCTGCAAGAGGGCCTGATAGTTTCATTTTTCACAACTGCTCCTGTTAGGTATAAGAAATGTATAAAGACTCGAAATTTCCATAAATCTGATAAAGTACTCCGGCTCGTGTTTTAAATAGTACTTAATGGTATATTTTAATTTCTTGTGTCTGCGAGCCATGTTTCCTGATAATACTGACAATTTATAACATCATCATTTTTAGCGCTGCCACTCTGCCAGTTACAATAACATGTATGGAAAAAAATAACAAAATTAGTCCAAAAATCACAAGATTTGTCCTACCTGTGGGAGCAACCCTCAATATGGATGGCGGGGCTTTGTACGAGGCTATCACAGCAATCTATGTCGCACAGTTGAACAATTATGAACTAACATTTGGAAGGATTTTATTAATTTGGTAAGTAATGGTTTTTGAATGTTGTATGGTGTTATATTGTGCTATGTAGCGTTTGTTACATAGTGTTACACGCTGTTAAACAGTATTACACGCGTAAAATATCACAACTTGTCAACAAGATGTGTTCGCACTGCTTGTTCCCAGTTGTTGATAAGGTTGATGAGGCCAACAGACCCGCAACAAGTTGTTCCAACAAGTCCGATATCGTCTGCACGTAACAAGTTGTTAACAAGTTTATGACAACAAGCTCGTAGCAACTTGTTACGAACAGCCTGTATTAGTCTTGTTGGAACAAGAAAGTCTGTTACAGTCATCAACCTTTTAACAAGGTGATAACAACTTGTTCCAGACTTGTCACAACAACTGGGAACAAGCAGTGCGAACACATCCTGATATCGGCTTGACAACAACCTTGTTACAACTTGTTTGCAGATCTCTAACAACTTGTGCGATTTTTTACATGGTGTTACACATTGTTCTATGGTGTTTGTTACACATTGTTCTATGGTGTTTGTTACACACTGTTCTATGGTGTTTGTTACACATTGTTCTATGGTGTTTGTTACACATTGTTCTATGGTGTTTGTTACACATTGTTCTATGGTGTTTGTTACACACTGTTCTATGGTGTTTGTTACACATTGTTCTATGGTGTTTGTTACACATTGTTCTATGGTGTTTGTTACACATTGTTTTATGGTGTTTGTTACACACTGTTCTATGGTGTTTGTTACACACTGTTCTATGGTGTTTGTTACACATTGTTCTATGGTGTTTGTTACACACTGTTCTATGGTGTTTGTTACACACTGTTCTATGGTGTTTGTTACACACTGTTCTATGGTGTTTGTTACACACTGATCTATGGTGTTTGTTACACACTGTTCTATGGTGTTTGTTACACACTGTTCTATGGTGTTTGTTACACACTGTTCTATGGTGTTTGTTACACACTGTTCTATGGTGTTTGTTACACACTGTTCTATGGTGTTTGTTACACACTGATCTATGGTGTTTGTTACACACTGTTCTATGGTGTTTGTTACACACTGTTCTATGGTGTTTGTTACACACTGTTCTATGGTGTTTGTTACACACTGTTCTATGGTGTTTGTTACACACTGTTCTATGGTGTTTGTTACACACTGTTCTATGGTGTTTGTTACACACTGTTCTATGGTGTTTGTTACACACTGTTCTATGGTGTTTGTTACACACTGTTCTATGGTGTTTGTTACACACTGTTCTATGGTGTTTGTTACACACTATCTTAAAAAGTTGCAAGCATGTTAGACTCCTTAGTTGATGTTTCGAGTGTGTCAAGCGTGTAATGTTTGTGCTTGGAAATCTGTGTGTGTTAAATGTAAAAGGACTAGGTCCCTTGATGGTGTTTTAAACTGTTGTTAGTTGTCAGTTTAGCCGTTTTGTAATTTTGTTGTTCCACTTAGATTATTTCGTTAGTCAATTATTTGATCGTAATTTTTATGTAAATAATTAATGGTCGCCATAGTTGGGGAAACCTGTGGCGAACTCCATGGCAGTACATTGTTGTATTTTTAGTTGCAGACTCTTATTAAATCTTAAATCTTTTATGCTGTTTAGTATCGTAGCCACGCTTGTTTCCATGGGAGCTGCCGGAGTCCCTGCTGGGGGTCTAGTGTATGTTATTGTTGTGTTAGAAGCTTGTGGCTTGCCCACAGATGATATTGGACCGATACTGGCCATTGAATGGTTCTTGTAAGTATTCTTGCTGCATATTAGCGACCTGAAGCCTGCCAGTTGAGTACCTAGTTCAGCATGTTTCTCTCGTGCGCAGATAGTTTTTTTGAGGGTTTAACTCTCGTGGCCTTGAGGAAAATATCTATCGTGATTGATATTTTTCATCTCGCGAGGAAAAAATCTCAACGTCTGCGGATGTTGCGAGCTTAGTGCTGAGCCGCTTGGATTAACTACACGCGTAAAAATCATCATGTTGATGCAAGTTGTTCAAAACAGGAGCGAACAATGTTGTGCTGCACCCGTGAACAATATTGTTAACAAGTTGTTGAACCATCGACATTGTTGCAACTTGTTGACAATCATGTTAACAACTTGCAACAGCACTGATGGTTGAACAACTTGTTAACAATATTGTTCACGGGGTGCAGCACAACATTGTTCGCTACTGTTTGAACAACGCCGAACAACCTGATCAATTTTTACCCGTGTAGCCAATGAGAAACCATGATTTCCTCACGTGACTTTGGTCAAAATGGCGACGAGGGAAATGTAAACTCTCACACAAACAATGCTCGGTAAAAATGTATAGCTGTACTATAAACCATCAGGCCCATTGTATATAGCCCTGTATTTAAAGCCAAATAAATTACGTGTGTTTTAAAATTTGTGAAGTTAACTACCAATAGAAAGTAATGATAAAGTATTTCGCGTTTCACCATGTTTGAACTTTGTATTTTTCAGAGATCGTGTTCGTACGGCAGTAAATGTGATGGGAGATTGTTATTGCGCTGGCGTCATGTCACACTGGTTTCAAGACGAGTTTGAACATGGCAGTCCAGACGAGACAGAAATAGTTATTAATAATCACAACAAATCTGAACAGACGTCATTTTAGAACTTCACTCACTTGTGAATTTTCAATCACCCCATATATAGTCAATCAAGATATGCCACTGAGCTCCATATATATACCTGGAGTGAGAACTCGAGTATAAAAAGTGAAGCTAAAGATGGACGTCAGTTTTTATTGTTTTTGTCTGCACGGTCTGCAAGGAGTGTGCCGAATTTTCGTATTTTGACTTCGATTTAAAGAATACTTTGGTTTTATGAACTGACAACTTGTTTAGCGATACGGTCCGTTAGGAAAAAAACTGGAATTTGCTTGGGAAAATGGTATTAGAACTATGTACGACCTTCATAGCTACTGGACGTCACCATTGAACTATAAATAAACTGGAAGGCTAACTCAGGGGGGGAAATTGAAGCCAGTGCATTTTAGTTTTTCTGAGTTATGAGCAGAAATACTCAACACTGAACGTTGGGCTATATACCAAATTGAAGCTATTGAAAAACGCTATTTGGTGTAGAAATTTCAAGACTTTAGCTAAAAGGGAAATATTGAAAAACTACAAACATAATTACCGATAATTTGCCGTTTTGCAGTTGTTTTTGTATTTTTTTAATATTTTTCTTTTCGCTGAAGTCTTGAAATTTCCACACCGAATAGCAATTTTCAATAGCTTCAATTTGATATATAGCCCGACGTTTGGGGTCAAGTATTTCTGCTCATAACTCAGAAAAACTATTTTGGCTTCATCAAATCATAGGCCTTCATCATAGCAGTTAGCCTTCCAGTTTATTTATAGTTCAATGGACGTCACTGGCCGCCATCTTGGCTTCACTTTTCTTATGGGCTGAATGACTAAGTTCTCGCTCCAGATATATATATAGAGAGCTCAGTGCGATATACTCTCTACTCTGCTGAAGTCCTTGTTGTGTATTTTTCTTCATATTTTATGCAAGCTTGTCTGTGACGAAGCCAATTAATTTTTACATATGGTCGTTGTTGTTGTTATTTTTATTGACACTCCCCTCAGTCGTATTGTTGAAATATCAATAAGCACAAAATTTCAAATGATGGTGAAGTCCTACATTGTTTCCTAGCCATGTTTCCCGAAGATGGACAAACCAGGAAACATTGTTTCCTAGCCATGTTTCCTGAAGGTGGACAAACCAGGTCCTTACATTGTTTCCTAGCCATGTTTCCCGAAGATGGACAAACCAGGAAACATTGTTTCCTAGCCATGTTTCCTGAAGGTGGACAAACCAGGAAACATTGTTTCCTAGCCATGTTTCCTGAAGGTGGACAAACCAAGAAACATTTTTCCTAACCATGTTTCCTGAAGATGGACAAACCAGGAAACATTTTTCCTAGCCATGTTTGCTGAAGGTGGACAAACCAGGAAACATTTTTCCTAGCCATGTTTCCTGAAGGTGGACAAACCAGGAAACATTGTTTCCTAGCCATGTTTCAAACCAGGAAACATTGTTTTAGTCATATTTGCTGAAGGTGGACAAACCAGGAAACATTGTTTCCTAGCCATGTTTCAAACAGGAAACATTGTTTTTAGCCATGTTTCCCCGAAGATGGGCAAACCAGGAAACATTGTTTCCACAACAATCACAATTAGGAAAATTAAAAAAATTAAAGCATCACAATTTTACACTATATATATACATATATTCATTTTCTTATAAATCGCCATTTACAGCAATTATTTTACATAAAATCTTATCTTTTAATTACAAAATATATTTAACATATATAAAAGTCAAAACTGAACAGTTTGTAAAGGCAATGGAGGCCTGGCTCCCTCTGATGTCCAAGACTGACCTCGCGTCGGCAATTGTTGTTGAGAGGAAAATATGCTTGGCAGTCTGAAAACAAAGATGCATTTTAGTTTTACAGTAATTGCAGTTTATTTTTAAATGCATTTAGTCTACTCGATTAACCAATCAAATTAGTATTAGTAATTAGGCCTACGAGACGCGGTGGAAGTGAAATCTTTACAAATGTATAAACTAGAGAAGAAATCTAAAACAAAGTAATTTTGATAGGTACGCTAAAACGCGACATTGAAAACAATTGCATTCCTCACCTGGTATTCTGTGGTATTCTGGATCCAGATATATTACTGGTGAACGTGGTACCAGACGATATTCTGCGTGGATATGACCCCGAGAAGCCTGTAGCAAGTTGTGGTAGTACAGGAGGAACAGCCTGGAAATATATCGTACTCATGTCGGGTTCAGATTTTGAAACTTTGTCAAGATCTTCTTTACGTCGCTCTTTTTCCAACAGTTGACGTTTTCTCGCCTCGCGATTCGCTTTCCAATTTAGAAGAAATTTCTTCGCTGTAGCACTGATTTCCTTGCCATCAAGCATCACTACAGATATAAAGGTGTTGGCTTGAATATTTTCATACGTTATCTTGACACTCTCGTTAAAAGTTTCCTCGTCTGACCTGGCAATAACCCTATTTTGCTTTTAACTTAGGCTACGTTGAAACTATATCGGATAACTTTCGGATAGCAACTGTCCGATACGAGTACAGATATAAAACACGAGGCGATAGCAGAGTATTTTATATCTGATAAGCATGGACTGTGAGTCCGTTTAAATGGCTTAAAAACGACCCATCTTATGAGTTCATTGGCGAAGTAATTTTTAAAGACAACGTTATCTATCAAGCCGGTTTTCCACTAGGCGGAATTTTGCGCGCGGAGCGGAATATTTCTTTGTCTTTTCTAATTAGTTCCACCCGAGAAATCACAAGACAAAGAAAAATTCCGCTCCGCGCGCAAAATTCCGCCTAGTGGAAAACCAGCTTAAAGTCAATGAACATGATTTTTTATCACATAAAAAACCACCGACATGGCATTGATTTTCTTCGTCTTTTCCTCATGAATTACTAATGAGTTCTTTAACACAAATTACACAAAATTAGCTTAAACTTTCCCCTCGATTTTCTAGTTTCAATCGCATCTTTTTGAAGAATTTCTTAACACAGCATACCTAAAGTCTTGGACATGACAAAAACACGATCTCTATATTTCTTCTTTTCACAAACTGGATTTCCTGTCAGGTCGAGTTTAATGATTGCTGGCCAGATACTCAATGCTTTCACTAAACCCTACAGTGAAAAAATAAAACATGATCTGATTGAGATGGCACAGCCATGAAGATGCATCCGGATCACCTGTCTAAATGGCTGTCTTAGTAAAAGACAAGCTAAAAGGATGAGCTAGCTAGAATAACGCAATCTGCACAAGGAAAAATCTTACAACTTGTATGGTATGATTATGATATGCATTCTGTGAGTGCCCTTTAGTCCTAGATACATCGATTAGCATGACTGTCTTACCTTGGTGTCACTGATGTTGTTGTTCTGAGCGTTTAGTTGAATCATACTTGATAGACAATGTAAGTCTTCCAGGCTTTCAATATTGTTTCCAGAAATATTGAGAACGTTCAGACATGGCTGTATAAGAAATTTGCATAATATACGTTTAAGCTCTGCTCAAAACGAGGGTGAGAGTTGAGAAACGAGAGTTTGCGTGAGAGTTTTCTCAACTCTCAAACGAGAACAAGAGTTGCATGAGAGTTGACTGGATATTACCAGTCAAATGAGCAATTTGAGACGTAATGAGATGGTATGGACACGTAATAAGAAGAGATAAAGGAGAGCTGGTCAGAGACATTATGGAATGAAGAGATCAGAAGATGTGGGGTGGTAGACATTGCAGAGAAGGTGAGGGAAGCAAGGTTGAGATGGTATGGACACTTATTAAGATGGTATGGACATTATGGAATGAAGAGATCAGAAGAAGATGTGGGGTGGTAGACATTGCAGAGAAGATGAGGGAAGCAAGGTTGAGATGGTATGGACACTTATTAAGATGGCATATATGGACATTATGGAATGAAGAGATCAGAAGATGTGGAAAACAGAAGATCGATAAGTCATTATGGAATAAATTACCGCAACAGCTTTCAACGTTCGTGGATCAAACAATAATTTCTCTCCAAAGGGTAAATTTTGATTTTCAATGTGCAATTCACTGAGATTTTCCAGTCTCTCCAAGCCTTCCAGCACTATGATGGAATTCTGACCTAAATACCTGAAAATATAACATTTAGACCATCAATACTTAACAAACTTACTCCTCACTCAGACTCTAATGCCAGTACAATTTAATATGATGACAAAATACATTTATTTAATCCCATGGTGGCATGCAGGCCTAGAAAATTTCCTGATTTTTAAGCAGAATCTGCCATGACAAAACACTGACTGTGGGGGGGGGGGAGGTAGTCAATGGGTAATTATAAAGATCGGTTGGGCCATTAGTATACTACATACAATTTTGAAAGTCTTTTCAGATTATCTAGTCCCTCTATCTTTGTGATTTTATTTTTCTGCAGATACAAGTGTGTGAGGTTGACGGCAAAACCGAGGTTTTCTATTCTACCGATGCAGTTGTCATACAGATAGAGAACTGATAAATTGCGACACAATGATAAGTTATTCTGCAAGATAGAAAAATCACATAAAATTAGTTCAATCCATTGTTATAACCAATTACTCTGTCTAACAATAGAAGGATAGCCTTCACCCCCCCTGAAAACATTAAAAATGGCTGGCTTGGCTTATAGGCATTCATTCGGGGGAGTGAGCGTCTCTCAGCTGGCTAGGGGCCATAGCAAGTGCTTTGCAATTACAAATACATTGCATGGTAGAGGTTATGTCAGAGCTCTGTATTGTATTGTACTCTGGTGCTTAATGATCCATTATATTGAGAAGTAATTACTCATAGTGTGATGCCTTGGGACATAGCAAGTGCTTTGTGATTGTAAATCATGACATGACAGCAGTTACGCTACCATCAGAGACAGTCAGTATAGAGACCTAACAGAAGGCTGACTCAACCAAAAAATTGTAAGCGTTGCCACGCCATATTTCATAATGATTCCTCATCAAAATGATGTCACTATGCTCCTAGCCAGTGTGCTTGCAAGAAGCATTCACCCCCTGAACATCACCATTTTGAATATTATCAAAGGGGGGGGGGGGGGGG